TTGCACCTGCTGAGTATTTTGTTTGCATTCAACATTCTTCTCATTATATCTGAATGCACATTTATCTGATACTAGTATATGTTGGAGTAAGTGGTGAAGTGGATCAGTTGAGAGAAAACACCACTTCAAAACAGTTCACTCAAAGTTGCAATATATTTTCGAAGATGTGCATTGGTAAAAGCCATTTGCAATGTCAATGGATAGTTTCGAAACACTCTGTTCTCAAATTTTATCCATGACAGAGACACTGGAAGTTTAACGCTTATTTTAGGAAGCTGATGCTTTTGCTTCATTGAAAGGTGTCTTGGATCCCATTCGCATCTGACAATATTAAATGAGCAGCTTAAAACAGTGACAGGCTCTTGTGACCTCTCGATAAATAATTTTCCCAACTGTGCTGACTTGTTTTCCTTCTGTGTTTGTATTCGGTGTTTTGCAACAGAAAGTTCCGATGGTAAGACTGATGCCGAATTTGGAAATTTGCTAAACTCACTTGTCCGAACTTCTGCCGGCAAGCAGAGTTGACTTAGATGCTAAACTATTTGAAATCGGTTATCAGCTCAGCTCTACAGTGCATGAATACAACGACTGAGTATGCTGACTCCTCAGGATTTTAATGCACTGTATAGGTTGCGAAATAATCGCAACACCACCATACCTTATCCTATTCAGAAGTAGTTGTTGTCTTGGTCAAGTCTGTTTATATACATAACATGTTATCCACTCCTGGAGTTGAAGGTGGATTTGTAGATTGTTTACTGAAGAAGTATTTAGATAGGAATAAAGAGTAGATTCTATCCCACTGAAATTGTTCAATATCAATGCTATCAATGGAAATCCATATATATATATATATATATATATATATATATATATATATATATATATATATATATATATATATATATATATATATATATATATATATATATATATATATATATATATATATATATATATATAAGATGCAAAGCCAATAATCCACCATTCCCAATATTTTCCACATGCCAATCATGTCAATGCACGTAACGCAGCAAAGTAGTCGGCTAACCTATTGGATGATATGAGAGATTATGTTTGCAAGCGTTCGTGAATGACACATTTGAAACAACTGGCCAATTAGGTTATAATAATATCAAGGAACAGATCATCTATTCTCCATATGGGAATTCTTTATTGACTAAGATACTGTCAGGTAAGACTACTGATGTCGTTTAGGAACAATATATCCTTCAGAAATCTTATATTTCTGTTTGCCTAACACCCACTCAGACGATAATTCTTATTCTTCACCGACCGAATTCATTTCAACTCTGAGGGCAAAGGTTTGAACAAGTTGATAATATGCTATGTTCGGTCTCTCAAGCTTCTTGTTAAATGATGTATATCGTAAGTTGGACATTTAGCTAGAAACTTGATTCGAAGTGTACGTTTTATAAGAGCTATGTGAATGGTCCGCGCGACAATCCTGATGAGGTGGAAGACAAATTGTCGTTTCAGACACACGAATTAGTCATGAAGGAGGAGGTTCAGTCAGAGGATCGATTCAAAAGAAGGAGACTTGGACAAGACAATGTTTTAGTCTTTTGGCCAGTATCCATTCCAATACAGGTGTGGCTTCATTGATTGTCTGCTGAATAAGATTGACTGCATTTGCATACAAGATAGCAAGGAAAAGGAAATCAATTCGTTGACAAATAAATCGCTTAGAAGTGGATATCCATTCATCCATCAATTCACACTCTCCTACTTTTGTTGACTCTTGATATAGAGAGACTGAATTCTAACGCCAATTGTGTCTATCCACACTTCACACACTACTTGGCTGGCTACACAAGTCATGGCTTCCTATTAGAACTTCTAGAAACTCATCTTGAAACTTGTCGCTAATCAGGATTGGGAAGAAATTAAGTTTGTGTTTTTAAAATATTTGGACCACTGACTTCAACCCATCGATTCAATGTAAACTTGCTTCTCATGTGTCCTTATCATCCTGGCATCAATCCACTTGGTTGCCGTGGATGCGCATCCGTCAACAATGCCATAATTGAATGTATCAACCGACCAGTAAGTTCATGTCCCCAATGGTTCTGCAATCGATGTCAGTTCATGATGAACAGTATCCTGAAAAATCCTTAGAAAATATAAGATGTTTATTTCATCCCGAAGTGTGCATCATGTGATATATGTGTGTGTGAACAGACACACACACTGGAAGCAGCTATCGTGATATGCAGCTGCAAATGGCTATGTTCGTCCACAAGCCAATGACCTCCAGTAGCACGATGAATGTGCGTGGCAAACGTCGTTTCTTATCCATAGTCAAATATGTATTAAAAACTGGTCAAAGGATTGGTGCCAAGGTGGCCTTCACTATTAAATTCATGGAGAGTTGAAGGCATTGTGGAGTGAACCAACGTACTCTCAGTTAAGTTCAAATGACATCTTGCACACTATGATGATGCTTTCAACCTTCGGCAGTTTCCCCCAACATACTGACATATTGTCGTATTTATACAGTCATGTACGAATAGTTGAATTCATTGAAGAACTTGTTGTTCATAATTCTGAACCTTCTGTACACATTCAGAAACGATTTGTATCTACACTGCACTCAACTTGGTTGTGTTGACCTCAAACCATTTCACTATCAATAATGTTGAGGTGACTTCTGCCATTACTCTGTCATCATTATTCCTCATTGAATATTTCATTTGAATCATTGGAAACGTTCAGCCCTGATCAGATTCTTCAAAATGTCTGTGACTAATAGATCACATGTTCCAGATAACCTTCATCTCCTCAATACCCCACTTACACTCATCAAAGCGAACAACTTGTTTCAAGTAAATTACACGAATTTTATGCACACATTTGACTGGGAGTGACGAAGAGATCATCAGATGAAGTAGTTAACACTCAAGTCGAAATAGAAATTAACTGGTGACTGAATGTATTGAAGTCAATAAGCACTGGTTGTGGAAGGGCAATCTTTATATGCTGCGAATTGATAGGAGTGTGACATTGATTGCCATCTTTTTGAGTTGCCTAAAACGCAGACTTGCCTAACACGGTAAAAGTGACTTCCAGTTGCTGCGTTTATGTGGCTGGTTAGGCCTCAGTCAGCTCCATCATTTATGTCGCCGACATGGGTTGTCGCATTCATTCATCAGCGGATTGTATTGAATTGAGTCAAGTAGACAGTTCCTCTGACTGTACTTCAGTTGTTTGTTGTGGCGTAACCTGTGTACCATCGTGTTTATGTGTGTTGTTCAAATGCCAAGGAGTGATTCCTGTGTAGAGCTGGCATTTACTCATGAGGCTGACTGTATCAGGTACTGAACGAAGGTTCCCATTATTGGGTGGTTTCAATGGGGGCGTTTGAAGTGATAACAATTTGAATGAGGGGAAACAGAGACTGTCAGTTAAATGCGTGAATAATGAGATGATCCGCGAAAAGAGATTGTCTTCGACCACTGACCTGCATCATACATAGTGTAACTGTCACTTTCAATATTTGCAATTTACTTGAAAAGGCGTAGACAAAGCGTCCGTCACACACCAAAAATCTATGGAAGCCAGAACAGCTGGTCATTCTTCCTGTTTCGCTTCCGAACAGCTTCTCTGTGCTTCACAGGAATTCAACGGAGATTCGTCATCAGCAGAAATAATATTAGGTCATCAGTCACGTTCACTGAGAAGAGCCCTTACAACTACCCAAGTCAGAATGACTTTCTCCACATATGCAGTGATTCACAGCGTGTGTTCATCTGTTCACCTGTACTGCAGAATGATTTATTGATACCACGTTCAGCATTCTCTTCCTAATCACGTCTGCTCACATATCAGCCTGTTCTTACAACCCAGACAGGAGAGCCTGTTACTGCTCTATATTATAAGATAATCGTGTGATAAATCGAAAATCAAATTCACTGTAAGTAGTTCCTCTGCTGATATGCTCCGTGTAAGCTCAGTGTGAAACTGTAGATGAAAAATGTTACAATGAATAAAGAGATCAACAAGCACTACACCCAAAATGATTTATTTCGCAAACTGTTAGAACAGAACAATTATGACTAACTTCAGTCACGCTACATAAAGCTTATGTGGCAACATGCTGGATATCTGCAGTAAGTATTCCCTTTGAAACAAGCACAATCAAAATGTCATTCCAGGTTGGACTTGCGTTCATACATTCACATGGTTGCATGTTTACGGAATGATCAGTTTTCTAGGAAACGTGGGATTCATGACCTTTCCAGGTGCATAAGTGGTTTCCACTGTTCACTCAAGTAGCGACATTTATGTGATGAACTTCGACCGAACCCCCGAGTTGGCAGTAGCCTTGTAAGTCAAAGTGTATTTTCTCAGCTATCCTTATTTTCTTCTGATATGAGGCTACACGAAACCGTTATGTCCACATTCCACCATACTACTGATATTCCTCTCAACATTCCAGATAACACTTTCTCAGGTAAGTTCTTCATCATACTGCGTATTGAATAAGTTGATTTGAAATGACAAACAGCGTTGTTTCAAGTGAACCTATTTGACATGAAATGATACTGTAGTACAGTGCGTGAATTCTTTACTTACACTGATTTCCATCGAGTTGTTTCAGTATTTTGGTTCAGAATATTTTCACTAAACACAGGATCTTGGTGATAAGTGTGCGACAGAAAAAAATGATCTAGTTAACAAAGTCTATTGAATCCATCTTTTAATTTGTCTTACTATGACGAAAACAGTGTGTACTTTTGCACAGAATTCATACGCATCTCATGAAATTATTGTCTTATGTCAGTTGACTGACAAATACGCCCACTCATCAATAACAAGCTTGTGAGGTGGGCGTTCAACTAACTGATAAAGCCTTAGGTAGTCACAACAAACGTTTGATGAACACCAATGAGAGATGGAATACTTCATCAGAGTTGCTTGTGTATCATTGTCGTGTGATATAAAATAGGACAACACAATGAATTTGTTGTTTGTTTGTACGGGAAGTATCAAGTCTGGAGTAAGTTGTTCTAGACTAGTAATAATCGTGACCAATTTGAACCTGTTATGTGATTTTAATATTGCGAGTTTTCGATGCATTCATTTACGAATACTTGCCATAAATTCTCGGTAACTGCAGTGTTCCTGGTGAATTTTCTATGGATGTTTTGTAGTTAGATGCTTCATTTTTGATAGAATTTGATAGAATTTCGTGTATGGATGAAGTGTATGATGAGGTGCACTGGCTGTACACATTAGGGTTAGATTGAATTGACAGGTATTGGGTTATCATTCTGCTTTTGAGTTGCTACATTCTCCTTTTTGTTTGCGTCTATATAATCCCGTCGCTGCTGTTGAAATGTAGCTTTCAAATGTAAAAGCAGGAGGTGAAGCGAAAGAGAGAAACATTTTATGCTTAGTGTTGTTTCTCTAAGATGTCATTAGTGTTGAAATCGCAAGTATGGAAATTTTCTTACTATTCCAGTGACTGAAGGAGTGTCATTAAACTGAATCATGAGCTTTTGAAATGTGTGCATATGCATTTGTTTCATGATTAGCTTACAGTGATTAGCGCTCTCGATAGCGTAGAATATTCTCCAACATGAAACGCTCCATTAGATAAACCAACTAGGGGAAAGAAGAGATTATTCAGCGAGGAAAACTTTCTTTTCTGACGATATCAGAAATTGAAGAGAACTTATAATAACATTTTCTGGATTTCTTATTGAAGCAGAGACCAGATGGTTCTCTTCAGAGGTCGATTTATAGGAATCCTACATTGAATGAACAGTATTTCAATTTCCACAGCTGGGTGCCTCTTACCAGAAAAAGGAATCCGATCTACTACCTATCTTCAAGAATCAGAAGAATCTGCATGAGTGATACTATCAACGGTGAATTAGATAAACTACGGAAGATCCTCATTCAAAATGGATACCTATCCAGATTTGTTGAGAAGAACTTGAAATTAAACTGAACACGGAGCAAGTACTCACAATTCCAAAGAAGACCTTTCTTATGAACTTTGGTTTCAAATGCGATACGACAGTAGAGATCCTGAAGAATCGGCTGTTTAGTTAGCTAAAGAAGACATTCTTCGTTGCGAAGGTACAGATCAGCTTCTCTAGTCAGCAACTGGTTCCGGAGTGCGTTAAGGACAAGTTGTTGCTTTGGGCCACCTCGGTATGTGTCTAAACATTTACTTGCTCTAGTGGAGCTAACTATATAGGCCGCACAAAGCGTATACTTTCCAAGTGTACCTCTGAGCACCATCCTGCATATTTGTCGAGGAATAATTCAAATCGATTAACAGTTCAATTCTTGAACATTTGATCAACTCTTGATATCTAGTTCGACCACAGTCCCCCTTCATTGTCATATGTAGAGCCAAGTGGATTAGTCTAAAAGAAGTACGCTTTCGACACTTGTGCACCATGGCAGAAGCACTGGCAATCCATCATTTCAAACCTGATCTCTGCGTGGAGAAGAAGTATGTTCAATTTCTTATCTTACCATGGTCATAACACTTCCGAATTTTTCGATTTCATTGCTAGTTAATTTATTAGTATCACCTTCATTATGACCCTTGTCTCATTCTTCACCTTCTTTACATCCATCTTTCAAGTGGACATCCAATATACGCATTTCTCATCTAACAACAATTTTCACCTTTTTATGTTTATGGTATATATAAATAGGAGTGTACGGCTTTAGAAAGTGATATCGTCAATGAAGGAAATTTTCTTCGCTGAATTATCTCTTCTTTTCTTTATGACTCGATGGGCATGTTTCGTCTTATAAACCAACTAAAAATACTGTAACATTTTGACAGCTCTCATGTTCCACTCCTTTTTGTCATATAGTTTACTCTTTTTCAGTAGTTTCAAACAATTACAATGAGCTCTTGTGACAGACAAACGCTGCTGAACGCATTCAAATCGTTGGATAAAGATGGAGACGGTACTGTTTCTTCTGAAGAACTGAGAAACTGCCTGGTAGCTTGTGGCTTTAATGAAAAAGATGCAAAGGTTGGTTACCTGTTAGCGATTCCTCCTGTAATTTTCACGTCTTTGTTTATATATATCATACTTAGTTACGCAAAAAATACCTACAAAATTCGGGAAGCAAATTTCTTTTTACTTTTAACTGCCTGTCTGACATAAGTGTGTGTTCAGCTTTTATATTTCCTTCCGGAATTCAACATAGCTGCCGTCATTACCATTTGTTGATATACTCCTAAGTCTCTGCTGTCATGCCGGATAGAATAGTTCGACCTCTGCTGCAACACCAGCTCCCATGCGTATGTCTCAATATTGCCTGAATATCTATTAAGCTAATATGAAGTCCTTACTGAGTCTGAGTCACAATATCTACTACCTGTTGCAGATAATAACAAGCTAGTCAGTCATTTATACATGTCTGTAAACAGAAAATTGAAGAATAATTTCCTTTTCCATTTGAGAGGAATGATAGATAACCTCGATAGTCATTTCAAAAGTGAGTTATATATTTATTGGTCGTGGGAGAGCAACCAATCACATGTTGTCTATTCCTGAGTTCTAACGTAGTTCTACCAATCATTTGTGGAATACAGCCACCAAGCCAGGAACCTCAGTATTGTTGCACACACTAATAGGTGTTAATTACCTATTCTATCCAACCGACTAAAATCAATCAAAGTTGAGTTGTGTTTAGGATTGTTTCTGTAATAGACCTTATTTATATGACCTAAATGTAAACCTAATCTTGCCTAGTTCACTAGTCCACAAGTTACCAGCCGGTCATAAAACCGGATAAAGAGGGAAGGTTGAGCATAGGACTACCAACCCTACTCCGAAAAATCAATCCAATCACTAAACAAACTTCAAAGAACAACGAAATTATAAAAAATAAAAGTAAACTTATTCCTCTCTGGAATCGGGGAGACGGAATGATTGCGGTTGATGAAAGCCATTGGGAAGCCAATTGGCCGATATAACTTCGCCTCTCTCGATGAAAGCGAAAGTAAGAATGGGGACAGTGAACGCCTGCACAATGTTTGAAGCTGGCTGCTAAAGCCACCCAGATTGCTAGAGAGAAGAGAAGGTATAGCATGCAAGTGCTACATGTCTGGGAAAACAGATGGAATGGAAATGAACTCTCCAAACTGTCAACTGCAGAGTCGATAATCTACTCCGATTTTGACACCCAGACGACAAGCACTAGCGCACTGAGTTATGTAGTGGTTATTATGATATCCCCACGAGCATCGAAGGCTCATATTCAGGCACTCATGGAAACCAATCTGCTCATGCAGGATAATGACAGCAAGATTCAACTCAAAGCAAGGGAAATCGCAATCATACAATGCTACGCTACGCTACACACCTACAAATAATGCAGATGAAGAGAAGTGAAGAAGGAGGAATTCTACAGACAACTGCAATCACTAATGGACAACACCACACCCCAGTTGGCGACATCAAAATTCATTCCGGTGGGTGGGGTGACATGAATGCCAAAGTGGGAGCAGACAACACAGGAAGAGAACTGTGCATGGGTCGAGGAGAACTCGGTGAAATGATGAATGAGAATGGAAGACTGCGCATTCAACGATTAGGTGATTGGAGGCGAAGCAGTGTGTACAAACACAAGGATATTCATAAGACAGCGACATGGATTTGACTTCATCAGACACCAGGACACACACTACACTAAACATCAGATCGACTTCATCTCAGTGTGAAGGATCGGGCGTGGAATAACACTGGAACTCTGTTAAGGCGACGTGGAAGTAAACCTGCATAACCGTGTTAGGAAGGAAGAAGAAGAAGAGGCAAGACAAGGAATGGTGTGCATCTCGACGGACACATGGAAGCTGATAGAGGAGGGATAGTCAGATAGATGGTGAAGCAGAAGATGAAGCAGTGAAGTGAAGTGAAGTGAAGTGCAGTGCAGTGCAGTGCAGTGCAGTACATGGATGAACAACGAAAGTGGAACTGAGTACAACCTGTAAAACACTACACTGGACAAGGGAGTGAAGAAGAGTGCATTGAAATCAAAAGACACTGGTTCGACGCACCAGCAAGTGAAGCAGAACAGGCTTCAGGTGAGAGAGACAGAGGTCTGACAACATAATGTCGAATAACTTGGTTTCTATATGGGAAGAGATCATCGCAGACGAAACCAATGAAAGATGATGAAGGAAGCTTGGTTACCAAAGAGGAGAAAGAACGGAAACAATGGGCTGACCACTTCAAAATCTCTTCAGTCGACCACCTCGACCACCAACACCACCATCACCAGCTCAGCCATAGAACCACCACCGAACACAAACCCTCCGACGAAAGCAGAAGACTTTGTCAGAACTGGCACGGAATCACGCTCCTGTCCCTGTTCATCATAAGCAAAATATTAAGCCTCATCATCCTGGAGAGACTGAAGGATGCTCTGGATTCAACATTACGACCGTAGCAGTTTGCTGGCTGACTTCAGGAAGAACAAACCACACTTCGGTGTGTCACAAACATTTATCAACCTCATTCAACAGCAATGCTATATGCTATATGGTGAGGCTACATTCCAAGTAATTCACAATGGAGAGCGCTGTGACGCTTTTGAAGTGAAGACAGGAGTAAACATTGGGTTGCCGGCTATCACCGATCATCTTCCTGATTGTGGTGGACTGCATCATTCAGTAAACTGTAAGGAGATGTCAGAAGATGAGCATATGCTTTTTGACCGATGGAAAGATCCTAGAAGAAGACATAGATTTCGCGGATGATGATTTATGTCTAATGTATTGTCGTCCAAGCTGGCAGAAACCACCAAGTTGACAGGAGAGGCGAGGCAGCGAAGGAAGACGGGACTTCAAGTGAATGCAGAGAAGACAGAGGTGATGAAGATACCCAGTCAACAACAACAACAACAACAACAACAACAACAACATACATCAATCACCATCAACGGGAGAAATCTTTCACCCACTGACTCAGCATCGTTTCAACTACAGGTGGCACAAGCACAGATGAGGACGTCAAAAAGAGGATCGGAAACACACCAAGACAGGCCTTCATTAAACCGAAAACAGTGTGGAGGTCTATGCACTCCACTCCACTCCACTCAGTATAAAGCGTGAACAACATCTGAATTTTCAACACTAATTCAGTCAAGTCAGTGCTCCTATGTGATAGTACAGTTACTAATTTCTCACTATGATCTAACGTTTCCAAAATGATTTAGTCGTAATTACTCAGAGTGTTTATCAAAGTGATGATTAGTACCCGTATGCTAATTTAGTTGTCTTTTAAAATATCAACTAGGTGTCTGCATTTCTCACGTATCAGTAAACTCTCAGTTGTTTAGTTGACCGTAGATGCTGAGAGGCACAAATACAACACTGAATGATAAAAGTAATTCTACGCAGTATCAGATATCAAAATTTGATGGGTTTTTTCCACGTCAACATGTGAGGACTTGAATTGTTCATCCTTATATAGTCTAATGACGACCGCAAAAATATGAGAAGTGCAACTTAGATTTAAACATGTTCATTCAGATAATTCCGTACAAAATTCATGAATACCAAACCTATTTAAATGAGTATGTATCATAATTATTTACGTTATTATTTTGCAGCACTCTCTCAGCTAATGAAATAGAAAGGTGATAAGAGGTTTAGTGACAATTAGAAATAACAACGCACGTTAAGACCTTGACTTCAAAAGTTCTACGTGCATGAAGTTACTGTTTAATTGAGCATGTTTCATTTTTCTATGGACGTTTCTTATTGATATTCTTACACTTCTACTGCCTTTTGATTTAAATTATTGGTAGCGTAACCTTAGAATGTTTAGAAAACATGTGGTGGATGGACATATGAGTGGAACTTCCATATTTCACAATTTCAGTTGATATGACATAAAGATAGCAAAGATATAATTCACAGTTCGCGCGCGATACATCGGCGAGAAACGATTAATTAAGATTTCTCTCAAAATGTAACTAGGCTTCTAAGGTAATGCAAAGTATACAGTTCCTAATGTTTGTGCTTGAGTGTGGAAGCTGACCGTTCCCCATCAAACGTTTCTCATGTTTCTCACAGTTCATGTGGCACTAAATGTTGTTTCAGAACTCTGATCAAAGTGGTGAATTTACTCACAAGATACGTTTCCTCATCCAGGACCAATTTTACATGAATATTGCGTGCATATACAGAAGTGAGCATCTTATAAATAGCATGAGGTAACATTCCACTGTTGATTTTCACAGTATAACCTAGTTTCGTATAACGTCAGAAAATGAGATTGAGCTTTATTTTCTTCAATTTTGAAATCTGCATCTGAACGTGGATTACCCAAACTGTGTGTCTGTGTTTTCCTTACTTTCATTCGCATGTTCTTGAATTCAATTAACTGTTGGTATTTTCTTCGTGTGTTATTGATTGACAATCTGGCTATATACCGGACTGTATGTGTTCAGGAAACGAGTGATATCTGCGATCACTAGTGGATTACATAGTGTTATATTTGATGAGGTGTTAGAGTTGTATATGCGCAGTAGTTTGTATTACTTGAATTTGTTTGGGTATGTAACCTAACTACATGTGTTTCAGATATAAGGAAGATTGGTTTATTTTACAGGTAGTTCACAGTTTTTGTTACCAAGTATTGTCTATCTACTGTAACTTCGAATAGATTAGCTGACGGTTTTCACTCATTACTAGAATCCACTTTTTCCCGGGTAGAATGCGTTAACTAGTTTTCCGTTGAACAAAGATGCATTCAGTTAATGAAGACTAAAGTGTATGCAAATTTTCCATATGTGTATAACAGATTATAAATCATTCAGATGCACAACTCCTCACCTCTGTTTAGAAAAGTTCTGATACGAGCAGTTATAACTGTTCCTGAAACAATTTCTATTACGAGAATGTTTTTTTGAATGTATCAAAGTATGTCATAAAATGTATTTAGCTAAATTTTGGAACGACTTCTAGAGTTAACGAAGTTCAACTTGTATTTATTTTACAGCCCTTAATGGAATACTTGGACTCGAATAAAGATGGAAAAATTACATTGGATGAATTTTTAAATGCTCTTCAGTGAGATGTTGAATAGACTTGGTGGTTTACACACAACGTGATCAACAATCGTGTTGTAAAAATGTTAAAGAATACATGGTGTTTCCAGTTATTTTTTGCTTCAGTAATTTAAAGGAAGGTTCTTCTCTTTTCTGAGTTATATGTAACCGTTTAAATCAGATTAACTGTCGTTAGTGGCATAACTCTGCACTGAATGAATTCAATGTGTCTCTAAATATGGAAACAAACCAGCAAAATGTAGCTTTGACACAGTGATATTAGCTTACTGAAAAACGTTTTGCACAAAGTATAATCTTAGCACGTATATAATTTAGCGTGAGTATTGATTTTCTCATTGCCTGCAAACACTTATAGGAATTTATTTCTGGTTCAAGTATATTAGTGCGTGAATAAGAGATTTTCCCCATTGATTTGGCTTCTCCCACTTCCGTTTCTGCTGGACGTTCCCCCTAACAATCTTTACGGTGAGAACTCTGAGGCCATATGAGATGGTCAAAACATGTTGACATGAGTTGTTATTTATTTTGGTTATTTGATAACAACATCCAAATATTAATACATACAGGGATGAGCCATAGACTGAGTGATGCACTAAAAGAGACGTATCCAGCCGTCAAGAAAGTATGTGTGTATCAGACTCAGTGCTCATTGAGACAATCCAAAGCAGACAAGTTCCCAACTCCTGCTGCTTCCAACTGTACTTGTACTTGTCAAAACACCTACATTGGAAGAAGAGGGAGAAAGGTAGTTGTTCACATTTATGGAAGTGTTCCGAAGAATTTGAGTCACAGGTTTTCAATAGCACAGTCACTCGACATTTACTCGATCTTGGATAAAAGTCGACGTATCAAAATCGTTCAGCTAAAACCCAATCTTATGTGGCTTCTAAAAAGTAGTTGCAATTAAAATACCCAAACTTGACCTACCTATTGTCAGTGTTGCTCCACCTTGGTAATTTTAATCTCTTAAATTCATAAATACAAAATTCCATGACCTCATGACCCTGTGTTTTCGTGAAAGTGCTACGACTAGTACACTCTTGTCTGTTTCGGTTAAGGTATATTGTGAATAACAATAGTAATAGTGATCCAATCACTTGGTGGTCATAAATACTGTCGATCTTCAGAACGCAAATACTAACTGTAAGGAAACGCTAAATAAAAGGATTTAACCTGCCAATATTTGTGTAACATGTCAGTTGAATTAACTCAGCTAACGAACGTGTCACTCAGGCATTACATTCTTTTGGTAGCTTAGTTACTGAGTTAGATCTTTATTTACTTTTGAGGAAAAATTAGGACATCAAACAACAAGAAATGAGTACTTCAGTATTGTTATCGGATTAAATCTGAATATAAGAAACATGCTCTTTTCTATAGTGTTTCCCGATTCAGACGTTTCTGACACCTTTAATCAGTGCACAGGGATGAGAAACACAGGATCATACAATATGTAAATTTTGTAATTTGGAGCAAATTTCAGGATGCCTTAAGAGGATTCTCTTGTAGGTCTTCTGCAAATATGCTGTCGAATATTGACGTTTAGCATGCCGTAAATTACATAGTCTGAGAAAGTCTCTAAACGATACATTGTTTAGTGGAATCTACTGCACGCATGCAATGACAAAGTGGATCGATATATGACAAAACGTGCCTGCGTTATGATTGGGTACAGTGAAGAATTGTCCACCTTCGGGGACATTAGAAGCTGTGATGTAAATTATTTGATTGCATCAATAGTCCAATCTACAACAGACCACGTTGAACTGCAGCATATTGCAAGTGATAGTTTTCATGGTTGAACGCAGACTAGCTGGAACGTAATGACAGTCATTTCGAAGTTTCAGCTAGGTGTTTAAAACTGTGGGGAATAGCTGACGTGTTGTAGTAATGAGACAAGTGAGAATATTGAAGCAGAATGCCTTTGTAACACATGAAACACATGATATGAAAGTTTTGCACGACAAATTTGACATGGGATGAATAGTGACAGTAAGTTAGATTAATTTACTAGGTCCCGTAGTATGAAGTTTTTGTTTCTTGCTAATAATTTCAAAAATGATTGATTACAACAATGAAAGCGGAAATTCAACTAGCTACTGTTGGGTACTGCAGATCCTACGTATATATACTCTCTGTATGTCGGTACATACCTCCTCTGAACGTGAACACTATCGATCTTAGGCATAATTCCACAGAATTGACCATTGTGACCTGAGTTTACTATCTGATAATAATAGGTTAAGGACGATTTCTGATACATCTTTGATGAATACGTTAGTAAATAAAGAAAATACATAAAAGTTTGCCATTATTTCATCTTCTCCAATATAAGATTAAATGATTTAGTTCATGAGTGCTGACATATTTTAATTCCTTTCGTATGGTTTTGGTATTCGTGATATGTATTTTGCTGAATTGTATGTAGGTGAGTTAATAAAATCTACAACTGGTCTGAATCATATGTTTTTCTTATGAATTTATAGTAGTCCATTGAATCTACAGGGGTTGCAACTTTTTGGTGCTAATGAGAATCGTAGAGATGTACCTAACTTGACCTTAATAGACTGACACTAGCAGACTACTACAATCTATAAAAAAAGTGCTTGGACATTCTTTTCTAACAACTTCTAACAAAAGCATATGACCCTATTAGAAAAAGCAAGTAGTAAGAGCCTAAAATCACCAGAATTAGTTGCATGTGTATACATTTGGTTCATTTGTGATGTTCTGGAAAGTGATGAAAACAGATATACAATATTAAAATTTGGGCACTGTAATAGGTTTTAATTTTACTTAAACTGCGTTATAAGATGTTTCGAATAGTGAGACAGCATTACTTATTATATATAGCTCTAAGAATCTACCAGTAAGCAAACTGCTTCATTGTGTCATACATCAAATAAATAGGCTGAAATGGTCATAATCTCGTTCCTTCTACGTTGCAGTAATAGGATTTTTCAAAAAAATTCTTTTCCGTTCAGTTAGCTGAGGCAGACCTGCTTCCAACATCACAGCTGTAATGCAATTATTTGCACGTCTCCAGTGAACTCTGTTCTCTGAAATCTTTTGAACCACGCTCCAGGACAGCCCACAAACTCTCATTTCCTCCTCGCACGATCTCCTCCATGTCACGCTCAGCTGTAAACCTCCCCCAACTCGTCGCTTCCCATCTGGCTTCCATTCGAGGGCTTGGCGCGTGCTGTCCCCAGTCGGCCTCCTCAGTCTATGTCCAATCCATCTCCACCTCCTTCCAGTGCATATTTGTTGGGCGATAGCTGTGTGCTTCGTTGGTTCGTTACCCAGCCACAGTTCCTTGTTGCTTATTCCTATTATTCTGGCCACCTGATCTTCAGTAGCGAGCCAGCGTAGGTGGCAGTTGTTGATGAATGTCTGTAGTTCGTTGGAAATCCCTTTCGTAACGCACCAAGTCTCTGAGCCATACAAGAGCACTGACTTGACGTTGGTGTTGAAAATCCGTATCTTGTTCCACATGCTGAATGCAGTGCAGAAGATCTCCACACTGGTTTCAGGCTAATGAACGCCTGTCTTGCTGTCTTTCCGATCCTGACTGGCCTTGATATCCTTATCTGTGCCACCACCGCCTGTAGTTGAAACAGCGCTTCCTAGATAGGTGAAGGAGGTTACTTCCTTTAAGTTTCTCCCGTTGATGGTGATTGGAGTTTGTTGTTGTTGCTGTTGTTGGTGGTGTTGGATGGGTATCTTCATCTCATCTATCCTCTCTACATTCACCTGAAGTCCTGTCTTCGCTGCCTTGCCTCTTCTGACAACTTGTTAGTTTTCGCCTTTAGATCTTCAAGTTTGTGTGACATCGGGCACAAGTCATCGGTGAAATCCAGATCTTCTAGGTTCTTTTCCGCAGTCCAGCCAGCGTATCCCACTCTTCTCATAGCTCCCTACTGTTTGTTGCATGAATCAGTCCAGTCGACCACAATCAGGAATATCATGGGGGATAGTAGGCAACCTTGTTTCACTCCTGTCTTCACTTCACTTCAAAAGCATCACTGAGCTTCCCATTATGAATTACTTGGCAGGTGTGTGGCATCTTCATATAGTTGTTGAATGAGGCGGATAAAGGTTTGCGGTACTCCGTAGTAATGAAACAGTTTCCAAATTACCTCTCGGTCGACGTTGTCAAAGGCCTTCTCGAAGTCGATAAAGTTGAGGTAGAGAGCTGATTGCCATTCTATACTCTGTTTTATGATGATGCGAAGCGTTGCAATTTGATCCGCATATGATTTGTACTTCCTGTAGCCTGCCTGTTCGGGTTGTAGTTTTGAATCCAGCGTATCCTTTAGTCTCTCCAGGATGATGCGGCTTAATATTTTGCTTGCTTTGGGTGGACAGGAGCTTGATTCCGCACCAGTTCTTGCAAATAGTGAGGTCTCCCTTCTTCGGCAGTTTGACACGGTAAACCTTCTTCCAATCACCAGCCAGGTACCCTCTCTTCCTTCCACACCTTCTGCAATTGTGGTGTGGTGTGAGCATATCCGCTGTTGTCTCTACGTCTGTTTTCAGTGCTTCTGGCGGTATCCCATCTGGTCCTGCTGATCTCCCATATTTCAGTAGCTTTATGGCGTTCACGACTTCCATTTTTGTTGGAGGATTTATGTTCACTTGTAGTTCGACGGCTGTAGGTGGTCCTTCCGGACGAAGTGCAGGTGGTGGTGGTGGTCAATTCAAGAGCTTCTTGGAGTGGTCGGCCCATTGGTTCCTCTGTTTCTCTTCTTTCGTAATTAAATTTCCGTCATCATCTTCTATTTGTTTCATCTGCGTTGATCTCTTCCCAGACAGTAACCTGGTTATTTGATACAGTTTTGTCAGGTCTCTGTCTCTCCTACCTGCAACCTGTTCTGCTTCACTTGCAAGTGTTTCGTAGAAGTGTCTTTTGTCTTTGTGTGCACTCTTCTTCACTTCTTTGTCCAGTGTTTTATACATTATGCTCGGTTCCTCCTCTTGTTGTGCATCCTTGCACTGGTTTATCTTCTGCTTCACCATTCTCCTCTCCCTGCTCTATCAGCTTCCATGTGTCCGTCGAGATCCATTCCTTATCTTCTTTCTTCTTCCTTCC